ACTCGACATTCAATGATTAATCTTCCTTTTGTGTGCACACGTGTACACTTTGTGGCTTCCGTTCGGGCCAAAATTTCAAAATCTCCAAGATATGGCGAGGCCATGAGAATGCAAGGCAAGGGTATTACTGTTGAAGCGACGCCACTCAAGCTAAGCGAGCCTCAGCAGTAGATAGTCCGCTGCTCTCTGCTGTGCGTGCTTCAGCGCGAACATGTACGCAAGCGCATCTTTTGATTTCAACCAATCAGCGTCGACGCAAATGACGTCACACACGACAACAGCTAAGCTAAGTTAGCCGAGACGACACTCGAAGTCGGACGGACACGATTTTCTGCCAATCTGTGTTTTTCCCTTTTTGGCCAAATATATTTTTTACTACAACTGTCTTGTCGACGGTGTCTTTTATTCGTTCGACTGGGGTTTAGCAGGTGTGTTTATAAAGAGACAAAAATTGTTTGGGGACTATCCCCCACATTCTAGTTGAGATGGTATAACCCAAGAGGCAAAATGACGCTTGCTACTGTTGTTGCGAGTTGCCATTCGTGCTACTAAACCATTAGTCAAACGCCATCATGTCTTCTGTCGTTATTACACAAACAAAAATCTCTTTACTGTTACTAGTGTTAGTGCCTCAATATGGCTACGCTCGTGAAAGCAATACAACGAACTCAAACGCGTCTTCGTTCAATTTTGTCAACTAATATCCGGATTAATTTTATGCAAATTTTCCTCAATTCTCCAGAGAAATTTTCATAAAAATTTGAAAAACCCGGAATTCCGGGAAAATCCGGAGGACTTTCATCTCTGATATTGGTATCTTGAAGTGTTGTTTTCGTGAATGATGACAAAATTGTTTTTTTAATGGCCCCCTTTTTTCATGACGAGAACGAGACGAGGAGCTAAATGTGGCTCTTTGGTGACTAAAATAAGGAGTTTTCTCTAAGGAGACTGGACATGTGGTCTATCAGACGTTAGAAATGCATGGCATGTCTTCCTATTATGCTTGTAATCTATCTGTCGAAAAAAACATCTGCAATGTTGCTGCAACCAATCCTTGTTTGGTCATGCCCACCACCAGGCCGGCACACAGGGCACATGCACACACCAGCACAACACAAGGCCCCTGCGGTCAAAAGTCACATACACAGACGTGCTTCCCATTGATGGACCATTGCGGCAGTGTCAACAAAGGGGCTTGGTGAAAAAGATACATGACCACGGTTCTCCCAATTTGAGGAAAATGGCTTGCATTGAATGAGGTTTTTTTTTTTATGTACATTTGCTTCTTCATGCACGGCACTTGATGTGCAGCTGTGGTTCTTGTATAAGTGCTCCGTAAATAAAGTGAAGAAGAAAGATTACCTCAGCTATGTTGATCTGGACAGAAGCGTGGTCCTTGGCTCCGATGATTCTGTTGCTGGCAGAGCTTCAACAAACAGAACAAATCATGTTCTGAAATACAACAATTTCTAATCCCTGGTGATGTTATGTTCCAGCCTGTCTGCTCCAATCCGGTTGAGCCAATGAAGCCCTTGGTATGACCAACCAGTTTTTCCATACTAGATTCAACATGCCGACTATCATTAGCTCGCTCAGTCACCTTGGGTAACAAGCCTGAAAAAAAAAATGAATGCCCCCCAACCGCAATTTTTTTGGGTGGGGCGGGGAAACACAATTAGATTTTCCAAAATCTTCAGCCCTAATACTAAAAAAGGCAGGACCCAAATCTTCAGCCATAATACTGGGAAAAAAAAGGCAGGACCCCAAACATTTTAGTACCGGTACTCTTGGCCAATTTCATGTGAAGATATGCTAGTCACGATTGTATTATTATTATTATTATTATTATTTGTATCCTGGTGACCTGTTGGGTTTTTCTTACGTAAAGGAGGTACCTTGGCTCAACAAAGGTTGTTTTCCAAGTGATGTAATCAATTCTCTCCCAGTTAAAAGCTCAAGTTAGCAATTACATTTGATAGGATGCAGAGAAACTGACATGTTTCTATCAACATGCAGTACAGCGATTTCAAGCCAGCTGTAACCTCTCGATGGACCAGAGATCTTACATTGGAGCTTTACAGACTGTAAAGCTCCAGTGGAAGAGATCTTACATTGGAGCTGGCTGGTCTCGCTGTCAATTCTGGCACTCAAAGCAGGTACCTGATGCCAGTTGCCGGTCTCTTTACGTTCCTGGTGGGCATGGCGAATGTTCACAGAACCAATAGTGCTTAAACAAAATGAAAAAGTACAAAAAGAGCACCAGAGACGATAGCTGTTTGCTGAACAATGATTAGCATTAGTGCTACTTGGCTATTATTATCACTACTGGACATTGCTGTGCACAGCCTCGACTGTGGCTGTGACTCAAGTGAATGGGGCCCCAAAAATATCAGTGTACTTCACTCGCAAACAAACCCCCTGTCGTGACATATTTGTATCACATCATTATTTTCTCCTTGTTCTAAACTACTACGAACATCTACTTAAACCTGTGCAACCAGCAAATGGTCACTCTTTTTTTAATTAGTATTCATTAATATTTTTTGTTGCGGACAAACTTCTGCTCCACAGCACATTTACTCACTAATTTATCGTTGAAATTAGAGCATATTTCAAATTACAGTGCACCCCCCCAAAAAAAGCCCTGTTGTCACTGACTTTACCGCTGTTAAGCCCCCCCCTTCAGAAAAGGCAAATGTAACTTTGAGCAATATTAAATTTAGAAATTACTGATCAGTTTGACAAGACCTTTGTAGTTTTGATATACAGTGATCCCTCGCTCTAACGCGGTTCACTTTCCGCGGCTTCGCCGTTTCACGGATTTTTTAGTGCAGTTTTTTAATGCTTTTAACCCTTTAAATCAGAACGCGTCGGCGGCGACGCGTGTCGACAGTACAGTATTTCCAAAAACTATTAGGAGTTATTTGTTGAAAACCTTTGTTTTTTTTTTTTTTGTAATTGGGCCTGAAAACAGGTTTTGGTCTATGATTTCATTGTATATATAGTTAAGTATTGTACAATAACTGTAAAAAAATAAAGTTCAGTACTTCATGGATTTCACTTATCACTGGTTCTTTTTGGAACGTAACCCCCGCGATAAACGAGGGATTACTGTATTTAGTAATTTTGTGACCTTTACAATTTCAGAAAGTGGAGAAAACTGATCTTTTCTCCCCGATCAGCCCAGATTTCTGATCATATGATTGGATCGGGACATCCCTAAAACAAACCTTCATGTCATTGATTTATCAAGTCCATTAAAAAAAACAAATGTGTCCATACGATAAATCGATATTGTAATTATCATGACAGGCTAATCTGTTAGTCAATCCATTTACTTCAGATTTGGCAGAAGCATAGTTAGATGCAGTATATAGTAAGTGTGGACATTTGGTTAGAAAACTTACTCACCCGAATGTTTTTGAATGGGCTTTGTAAACTTTGAATTTGGGAAATGTTGGATTGATCCTTATTCCAAACGTACTTGATCTTTTGAGAGATTTCGTGACCTGTCAGTGATTATGTTTTAGAGCCAGAGTTAGGAGCTTCCTCGTTCTGGGGAGAGGGATTATAACCAAAATATTGTTCGAAAAACACAGATAAACATTCAAAATGTGTTTTTTTTCCCCCATGACAACGAGGGGCGTAAACGCCAAAAACCATGTATCCGCGGGTGCCTAAAGTATTTTCAAACTGTACTTCCGTGTAATCCCGCCCGGGCATTGAACCCACGCAACCACCGACCCCCTCGAGTAGTGGGGTTTGACTAACGTACTTTTAAGACAACACCCGTTACATTTGCTCACCATTTACGAGGGACGTAGAGGTCCACAAATTCACCAGCGTCGTTCTGCATGTTGATTCGCACGCGGTCGACAAAGCTGTAGGGAACATTTGATGTCAACGTTTGATGTCAACATTTTCAACACAACTGTGATACTTATCGCAGCTAAATCGCAATCAGTTACAATGCAAAAGCTGTCAATATTTCAAGATGTGGCGGACAAAACTAGCGGTAGCCTCTTAGCAACTTTTAGCATAGCAACGAACATGTGGATAAGTCCGCACGAAGCGCCGTGGAAGCTAAAATTTTAACAGCAATTTAGCTTCTTTTCTCCTTTAAACGGGCGCACGCAGTAACCCTGTCCGCTCAACAGCAACAAACATCCGCAGAATACACTTTTACATCACTGCATATGGTCATTTAAGGAGGTTTTCAGAAGGACAGCGAAACAAACCCTCACCGTAACCGACAAATGGACGACGGAAAGGAGGGGCTTCTTCTTCTCCGAGGATGTGACGGCAGTTAACATCCTGCTGTGCATCACCGCCATCTGTCGTTTCCGTTGCGCTGTTTATTCATTTCCGATGTACTTTTCTCTAGATATTAAATTCTTGACACAAATCCAGTCATATTTAAATATGCAATAAGGTATCTCACTTCACTTCCCCTTATTCCACACGATAATATGCTATTTACTGCCCACATTCACTCATTCATTTCCCCTCCTTTCCCTAGTACGTTTCGTGATAGCTGCACGTTCCACTGTTCTTTTTTTCTTGACACCCGTCAGACCCTGTTTGATGTTTTCTAAAAAATACTGTCCGTGGTTACGCATGAACAAAAAGTCGATTGATTTACAAAAAAAAAAAAAAAAGACATAACTTATGCATGTGAAATATTCAATAGCATATTTTTTCTGTAGCCTACATATTAGATTGGACATTTGAATGTCTGTCTAATGTCGATTAGCAATTTAGTTAAGTTTAAAAAGGCTTGTGGAAATACTAAAAGTTTAGAATATAGCACTGCTGCTGATAACAATAATAATAATAACGATCACACTAATTCATAACAACGTGTGATGCAAAATTGAAAAGGCCAGCGAACATACTTTAGACGAGTTCAACCACCACATCCAACTAGGATTAAAAACCTGACAGAGTGATAAGAGATATAGCATTTGAGGATAAATAGCTGGAGAAAAACGTTTACCTTCTTTGACGTCTGACGTCGATGACGTCAGACGTCAAAGAAATAATATCAGCGTACATTGGGCCCATATAGTAGTCACCATTTTGAGCACTGTTAATCTCAAAAAATATTTTAGGTCTCCCTTTGCGGC